ACTCTGTGCAAGGACCTTGAAGAACAGAGTACAAAATAATTTTTTCACCCCTGGGCTTTCTTCCTGGAATAGCTGTTGAATCTCGCATCTCTGGTCCTTCAGAACAGAGGTGAGTTGTGTTTGGGTGTGTTCCTGTTCTAAGAAAGATGTCAGCTGAAACTCTGAACACTGGGTAGACACAGCCATGCATTGCTTAACAGGAGGAAGGCTGAGAATCATGTTGTCAGGCGATTTCCCCATTGTGGGAACAAGAGAGATCAGTGGTGGCGACACTACGCCAGGCATGGTGCTTATTTTTCTTTTAAGACAAAAGATGTTAATGTATGAATTGTTTTTTCTAAACTAAAACCTCAGGATTCACTTTTAATTGCAGTGTTGGCACTTTGGTAAAGAAGTGGGTTTGGGATTGCATTTTGTCTCTGCAAGGTTTGCTGTCATTGTGGTAGAGTGTATTTACACAGATTAAGATGGCTAAGATGTCACTAGGTGATATAATTGTGTGTGTGTGTGTACGTGCGTGTGTGTGTGTATGTGTGAGAGAGAGATTCTGGGGATTGACTCCAGGGCCTTCACACTGAGCTACATACCCAGACTTTTCCTTTTTATATTTTTGTAGGTTTTTTTTTTTTTTTGGTACCAGGAATCGAACTCAGGACCTTTTGCTTTCGAGGAAAGTGACAGCACCACTGAGCTAAATCCCCAGCCCTATACTTTTTTATTTTGATACAGGGTCTTGCTAAACTACTCAGTTGCCCAGGTTGGGTTTGAACTTGCATTCACAAGTGCCTCAGCTTCCCAGAATGCTGGGGTAATGGTGCACCCCACTGGGTGATATAATCTCTGGGACCACTGTCATATGTTGTCACCTGTTGGCCAAAACCCCCTTACATGGTGTGTGGCTAGAGCTCAGTGATTTTAAAAAATTTTAATACCTAAGAAGCTAAAACTATGAGAGGATACCCCTCAATCAGAAAGAGTTCCTGCTTTCACGCTAAATCTTGGGCTTAACCGAAAGCTTTGAGCATAGAAAGAGCAGGCACCTCAGAGATATTGATCCTCGGTGCCAAGATGGGACCGCAGCAGGGGAAGCACTCTGGCCACTTGGAGAGCGGTGCAGCTGCCAGACGTTTGGAGTAGGCGGTGAGCGAGGAGGGCCTCCACCTTCATCTGTGTCCCAAAGGTGTGAAAGAGCAGTGGCCCACAAGTAGAGAAAAAGGCAGGACCCAGATGGCCCTGCCTTGGAATCCTTTTCCCACTCCTTTGCAGTGCTGGAACTTAATCCCTATAGACCTCTATTTTCTTATTTGTAAACCCGGGTTTAATTCCTCCACTACAGTGTAATTATCAGGACCGAATGAGATAACACAAGGGCTTAATTCTCCCACTGTAGTTTCCCGGGATTAAATGAGATCATATAAGCAATTTGGCATAAAACCTGCTACGTGGCACCTGACACCTCGTAGCTGTAACCCAGCAGCTATTCCACTCCCTTGCTACGCTGGAGCAGCACTGAGTTCTCCCTCCAGTCACTTTGTGCAGTCTTTCCCCGCTGAACGGAAACCGTTGTTTAATGACTATGTACTATAATTAGGAGAACCATGTTTTAGCTGATGCACAAAGATGGTAGCGTAACACAGCCACTTCATAACTCTCTTAGGATTCAGATTTGACCTATGTTAGCAAAGGCAAAATTTTTAAAGATGTAGTAAGTTTTCTTTCTGGGAGAGGGCCTGGGCTTCACTGGGGACATAATTTATCTTCTCCTCCATTAGTACTAACATGCACACACACACACACACACACACTCGTGTGCACACGCACATTCCGGGGCACTGTGTCTCTCATAGGCTGTGAACAAGGCGGGTGGGGGGAGTAGAGGGCTGCACACTCTTCTAAGGATGAGACAGACCCACAGGGAGCTGTCAGCGCCAAAGTGTGACTGGCAGTTGGACCCCCGAAACATCCAGCCACCCTGGGCACCCCTGCCGACTGCTCTCCTCCCCTGTGGCAGCTCTGCTGGCTGACCTTCCTGCACTCAGGAAAGTCACCCCAGTGGGGGAGTCATCCTCCTCGGGGCTCTGGCTGTAAGAAAAGCACAAAGCAGACGCAACTAAGGCTTTGCTCAAGGATGAGATGGACGCGTGTGAAGGGCCTGCCTGGGCAGCAGAGCGAATCTGTCACGTCTGCCTTCCTGGGAAGCTGGAAACTGTGCAAACCCGGACAGTGGATGTGCTGGATTCACCCCCACAGGCGTGAGTGCTGATGCTAAGACAGTTCTTTTTATTTCAAGGAAAGCCAAGGCCAGAGCTGTAGGGAGCGTTATTTGAACATCTGCCGTTAGCTGCATCAAGCAAGTTGTAAGGCAAGGACTAGGAAGGCGGGCCTGGCTGGCAGAGCTACCACACGAGCAGGTGCACTGCAGACCACACTGCAAGATGGGGGAGCACAGAGCTGCTGTAAGGGAGGAGCAGAGAGCGGGCCATTTGTAAAGAAGGTTCTAGGAGGTGAGGAGGGCCACGTCTAGTGGAGCCTTCTTGCTGCTAGGGGCTGAACTAGTATTTTATAAGGACCACCCTCAGTATAGCTGATCCATCCTAAGACAGTGGTGGTAATTCTTTCCCAGTTAAAGATCCCCCTTTCGGCACAGTTGCATCAGGATTCGAGTTTCCAACACCGGTGCTTTGTGAGATGCAGCAGCAGGCAGGGAGTCAGAGTGAGCTTCTGGGCGGACATCTGCTAGGGAGGACCCGGGCAGGAGGAGAGGTTTAGCAGGATGTGGCTGACCCTGTGACAGCCCTACAGAGATGTCCCCAGTTGGATTTTTATACTTCCGCTTCATTGGCAAGTTGCTGCATGTGAGTGGAGTTTGCAGGGCTGTGGGCCGAGGGCTGTCAGAGGGCAGTGCCCAGCAGCAGAGGAAATAAACCTTGCAGTCCTGAGACTGGGATTCTAGGACATAGCAAGTCCTAGAAAAGAGCGCCCCCTCCTTTGAAAAAGACAGACTCATACTGTGTAGTTAAGGCTGGCCTTGAACTCATGGCGATCCTCCTGCCTTAGGCTCCTGAGTGCTGGGGTTATAGGCTTATGCCATGACTGGTGGGCTTATTTTTCAAGAGACCAATGGGATGTACCAAAGCACTTCTGATCTGTGGAGACAGAAATCGGTGCGGACTCTTAGAGTAAACACTAGAGTCCACAGATTTGGGACTCAGGAACCGGCTGGGTTAAAGCCAAGCCAAGCCAGAATAAAGTCAATGAGCTACAGGATTTTCTGGGAAGAGGACACCGAGAGATTTCATTTCTAGAACATAGTGAGCACTTTGCATGCTTCTAACAAGTGCCGCTAGAGTAACAATGGCAGCAAAGATCACAACAAACACGATGAATACTTCTTTTCAAAAAAGATAATATCTTTTTGAAAAGCTTATTCACAGAACTATTAAGCACCTTACTTTTTCAGTCCATATGAAATTTTTGTTTTAATGATTTAATTCTTTTTTTTTTTTTTTTTTGGTTTTTTGAGACAGGGTCTCACTATGTAGTTGAGACTGACCTGGAACTCACTGTGTAGCCCAGGTTGATCTCGAACTCACAGCGATCCTCCTGCCTCAGCCTCCTGAGTGCTGGGATTACAGGCGTGCGCCACCATGCCCGGCTACTTAATGATTTAATTTATTTCAGAAGTACTTGTAAAGCAGTGAAACACTTCCAGCATTCTCCCAAGTGCTTTACTTAGTCCTCACACTATTCAATCCTTATGACAAGCTTTACGAGGAAGGTCACTTTATTATGTTCACTCAAAAGCTGAGGAAACCGAGGCACAGGGTTTTAATGCTTGCCCAAGATCACACACCTAATAAGCAGCCGCATGGGCATTGCAAACTCAGCCGTGAAAAGCAAACGGGCAAAGCCAGACCTGAGGCGAGGTGTTGGTGAAAAAAACAGCATCAGGGCTGGGGATGTAGCTCAGTGGTGCCACCACCTGCCTCGCAAGCACAGGGACCTGAGTTCGATCCCCGGTACCAAAACAAAAACCAAGAAAAACAAAATGAACAAACAAACAAACAAACAAAAAGACAGCATCTGATGCCTTCTGAGCTGGTCACAAGGGCTCCCAACAATGACAGGCGTCTTCCATTGTGATAAGCAAGTGGCTGGGGCTCTGTGCCAACACGGCCAGCTTTCCTGCTCCCAACCACAGCAGGTGTCATTTTTGAGGGGCTCAAAAACTTATCCAATGAGGAACTGAGTGGCTGTACTGGTAAAAATGCTCTTTCTAGAGTTAGAGCTAAAAACACTGAATAATTTTCCTTTTTTCTTTTTGGTGCCGTGGATCAAATTCGGGTCCTTGTGCTTGCGAAGCAAGTGGTGGAGCCACTGAGCTAAATCCCCTCCCCTTTTTTTGTTTTTGTTTTTGAGACAGGGTCTCACTCTGTAGTTCAGACTGCCCTGGAACTCACTATGTAGTCCAGGCTGGTCTCGAACTCACAGCGATCCTCCTGCCTCAGCCTCCCGAGTGCTGGGATTACAGGAGTGCACCACCACGACTGGCCTTGAGCAATTTTCTTAATGCCTGAGTTTTTTTTTTTTTTTTTAATCTGTAGAAAGGATACGAGGTCTCAAGTATGTGTGATGTTTAGAAATAACCATTGATCTAGCATATAGTGTTGAAGAGCACTAACTCTCAACAAATAGCTATGATTGTTGTGACTTTGCTCTGTGTGCTGAAAGATGGCAGCTGGCTTAAAAATGCAAAGAAGAGCTAAGGATCGCATTCTCTCAGTGAGCTCTGGAAGGCTGACTACATTATCTCTAGCATGCTGTCCTGGAGTAAGAATGGAATCCTAGATTTTGCAGGGCAAAGCTTTTTTTTTTTTTTTTTTCCTAAACACAACACTTTGTACTACAGCTAGAGTGGAATTTCCTGCTTGCATCCTGCCCTCCCCAGCCCTCCGATATTTTCAAGGCACGTCTTGCTTTTATTGCCCTTGCATTAACAGGTCTACCTCAAGGAGCTAACCATGACCCAGGAAATGGAAGCAGACGGAAAACGGAGGAGGAGAGAGGACAAGGAGACATAAAAGGCATTTTATGTTCTTTTTAAGGAGTCATTAAAGTAGCATAAAATAAAAAACCTTAAAATCCACACAAAGTCTTATTTAGCTAAGACTCGGACAGAGAAAAACGTACATACAGATGGAAAAAGCTGAGGGCGGGGGGGTCGGCAGGTAACTTGGGAGGAGTGGATCAGTCATTGTCCTGCTGCACATCAAAGAAGCCAGTTCAGTTCTTTCTGCCCAAGACTTAACCCGGGGAGAGGGTGCGGAAGGTGGGGGGCGGGCCTGGGGGGGACCAGCAAAACCAAAGCTGCCTCTGATCTTCCTAGCTCTGATGTGGGGTCTGATCTGCTTGGTGGATCTACACAGGCAAAATGAGCATCTCCACAGCCACTTACCACAGGCTTGGGTTCGAATGTTGCCCAGCTACGTCTTCCAGAGCGTCAGAGAGCTGTGGTTTTGAATCTGTGCAGCTCCGCAGCGCAGGAAGGCACAGTGGTCGGAGGGGAGTGCATGCCGGGCACATTCTCCTTTCCACCATGGAGGCTGACGCAGGGGATGGGAAGACCCTGGAGCTCGAAAGTCCTCCTTTCTGATCCGCTTGTTTCTGTCTGGGTGTGGAAAGGGTGGCAGGTAAATGACCCAAAGCACAAACTGCACATCTGCTATGTCTTGATCCCGTGATTCATTTCGGTTACAGAATTCGAGTTGTTTGGATTTTAGATGTAGCACATTGGACTGCAGGTATACTTGGGAGAGAAAAGGCAATTTAACTAAAACACTGGAATTTCACTGGAACGTGCAGCCTCTGTCCTTTAACAACTTACAAAACTCACACTCAGTAACACCTCATTAAGCAACAAATAAAGCCGGGCGAGGTGGTGCAGGCCTGTAACCCTAGCATTCGGGAGGCTGAGGCAGGAGGATCGCTGTGAATTCGAGACCAGCCTGGGCTACACAGTGAGTTCCAGGTCAGTCTCAACTACATAGTGAGACCCTGTGTCAAAAAGAGAAAAAAGAAAAAAGAAATAACACTCAAATTCTCACACACGGACAAGCCCATTTAATAATGATGGACTTAATGAAGGTATTTATTCCTTGACAGAGTTGGGAAAGTATCACGTCTTGTGGCCATGGTCAAAGAAGTGCTCAAGTGATTTCTCTTTAGACTCTTTGGCTCCTGCTGGTGCCTGGATCAAAAGCAAGCTCTTTTCGACAAGAGCACAGGAAGAAGGTCATGCTTGAGGTCTGTGTGACTGATACAGCCACCTGGGGTCTCTGGTGGTTAGGGAACCACCCTTTCAAACACCTCCTGTCCCCTGCACACCACAAACATTGTAAATTTGCATCCAACATTTGTTGATCATTTTAGAAATGAATCATGGAGTTCATGAGAGAACACGTGCTAAATAGGTCGTAGCTTTATTTTTTTGTTTCTTGGTACTGGAGATTGAACTCGGGTCCCTCTGCTTGCGAGGCAGGAGACAGAACCACTGAGCTAAATCCCTGGCCCTCATAGTTTTGTTTTTAATGGGGATGAAACAGTGGGAAACTGTCTTCCTTTTCTTGTAGCTAAGACAAAATACCTGACACTCAAAGTTGAAGGAGGGAAGGTTTCGTTGGCCCCCAGTTCACGGAGAGTTCAGTTCACATTGGCTGGCTCCAAGGCAGGGTGACATCACAGAGAGAAACAGTTTGTGGCGAACAGGAACCAGCAAAGTCTGCAAGTGACAAGAGACAAGTTTCTTTTTGTCCCTTATTCTTATCCAGAGGGCAGGCAGCACTCACACCCTTAGCCCTAGGGCCCTTGATCCCAGCACGGCACCACGAATCAATCCCAGCCTCACACACTCTAGACCCGGCCACCTCTGAGAAAGCCCCGCCTATGCTGCCTGAGGCTTTGGGGGAGGCATCTAGACACAAACCATAACAGAAACAAAATAGGAGTTTTCTCCTTTGGAGAAAAGTCTTTTAATAGTTGAACCACACACACACACACACACACACACACACACACACACACACACAAGATGCTTATGAAAACAGTCTCTGGATATCACAGACAAAGCTTTCTCCTCTGCGGTTTTACGCTAGACTAGATCTAACCTCAAGTGAGGGTCACACTGTGATTGTCATTTGGGCTTCTCCCTCCCTGGAAGATGTCACTGTGGGCACAGAGAAGCTGGGCCTCTTCTTTCCAAGGCTTTGGGACACTTGCCACGCATTCCTAGATTTCACCTTCAACCCTTGATGACTGAACCCTGGTCAGCGCTGTCCCTTCTGACCTCTGTAAGGAGCAACCGGAGAAGTAAACATTTTCTCTGCAAATTCTAAACTGCAAATTTTTAATCTTCCCGGTGAGCTTGCAGTGAATGACCCAGGATACTGTTTCATGATAGAAAATTCCAGACTGCATTGCTATTATGTAGTTAAGGGCTCCCATTTGCAGGACACTTCTGAGAAGGACTCTTGCCCCACCCAGCCTGTTCTCACCATGGTGTGGGATCTGTGTGCCTGAAGCAATGTGAGGGTCTCACTATGTGGTTGAGGCTGGCCTGGAACTCACTATGTAGCCCAGGCTGGTCTCAAACTCACAGCGATCCTCCTGCCTCAGCTTCCCAAGTGCTGGGATTACAGGCGTGCTCCACCACACCCGGCAAACATTGTTTCCATTTTTCCCTTCTATTTTCTTTTCTCTTCCTTTTTTTTTTTTTTTGGTACCAGGGTTCGAACTCAGGACCTTAAGCTTGCAAGGAAGGCATGGTGCCACTGAGCTAAATCCCAGGCCCTCATAGATCATGTTTTAAAGGCTGTCACTGCTGAGGAGTGGAGCAGGACCTGTGGTCCACAGCTGGGTCACTGCAGTCCCTGGGTGGTTTGGACTGCAGTGTTGGCAGCAAGTTTATCTATATATTTTTCATTTTTGAATGGCATTTCTTTTCAGGTCAGAACTGCATTTCCATCATTATTTTAAGTTTGGAAGATGAAACAGTTATTGTCATGCAGAAGTACTAATAGCAGCTTTTGTACTGTATTTTTTTATTAGTACATATTTGCCGTACATGTACTGCATGCTTCTGTTTAGAACGGTGCCTGTTATAGGAGAAATGAATTATGGCAAACATGTTTTCTGGATTGGAGGGATGACGATAATGTCTAACTTTCTCTGACATATTTCAGAAAAAGGAATTATTGAAGATATAAAGGGAGAAAAATTTATTTTTCAGCATTAAAAAAAAAAAATCCTAGCAATCACAGAAACTTTGTCTTTTCTCCCCTCCCCTCCCCTCTTCCCCCGTGATGGGCTTTGTTTTTCCGAGCAGTTTTAGGTTCACAGTGAAACAGAAGCGTGCAGGGTTGTCCTGTCGACTCCTCACCACAGGCTTAGCCTCTCGTCATCAGCACCCCAAGTGCTGCCTGTTTTTGTGGCGGATGAGCCTGTGCCGTCGCCATCTTCGCCTCACAACCGGGGTTTACACTTGGTTCCCTCTTGGGGTTGTACTTGCGTTTTCTTAACGTCATTTCTGCTCTCCTGGGCTCGGTCCTTTCATTTCCTTATCAACTAATTGCTGAAACCCAAGATTGGATTTCTCAGAGTGCATTATCAGGATGCTGTCAAGAGCCAAACAGAGGAACAGGTTCACACGAATATCTGAAAAAATTTTGGAGATGGGGAAAAAAAAAAAATCTAATGGCTCTATCAGAGCTTGACATAACCTTTGGAAATAGAAACAGTCAAGAGAAAGCCAAAGCTTCAAGGGCAAACACCTGTGGAGAGATTCCTAGAAGTCAGGTCAGAATTGCTAAGGCAGGAAATGAGGTGCATCTTCCAAAGGCAAAGTAGAGTAACCCCACTTTCCCCAGGGCAAGGAAAGCCTAGAGCGGAGTGTTGCCCTTTAGTCACACAGCAGAGAAGCACACTCACGGTGACACTAAAAGGCTAAGGGCAGTGACGATCTTTAAAAAGTCTTCTCGACCCAAGGAATGGGGCTCTGGAAGGAAACAGTGCGTACTTAGGGGACTGGGAAGGGCTAGAGGACTGCGGGGAGATCATCTTAATAAAGGGAGCTGCGGATGTGAGGGTGCAGGGCTCGGTGATGTCCGTCCAGGAGTTCTCAAGGAACTGGCTGGAGTACTGCGGACCCTTCATTGAATAGGAGTCAGCAATTTGTAATACTGTTACTTAAAAAAAGGGAACGGGAGTGAGAGATGTATCACCAGGGGGATGACGCGAAAACGGCGTGGGTGTTCCTGTACTGCTCGGCATCGACCACCCGTTATTTAGGATGTAATTACCAATCCGGGCGGCTGCATGTTAGAAGGGAAGAAGAGGTTCAAGGAAAGAATCACAAAATGATGAACAGGATGAAAAATACATGGCAAAGTTCAGTGGCCAGGGTGAAGAGTCAAGTCTCCTTCTTCTCTGCCTTCTCCCTTAATACTGGCTTCCAGGGGTAGCTAGCTGCCTTTGAGCGGGGCCTCGAGTCCTAAGTGATTCCCCTAAGGAGCCACATCTACAGGTGAAGACAAGTGGGTTGTTTTGTTTGGGAACATAGATGGCTCCTGTATAGGAAGGATTATTGTGGAAACCTTTCCGGCTAAAGGACCTTGCTGTTTCCCAGAGGAGGACGAGGGAGTTGGTACAAAGGAGAATTACAGAAAAAAGAATTAAACTAACAGTGATTAAATGCCAGGATCAAGGGCTGCCCTCCCCACAGATCCCTAGCGTAGCAGTCCAGGACCCTAACACAGTACAGAGTTTCCCTTTGTTTTTTCCCAGGAGCCCTCTGTATCTGATCCTTCTGCCAGAGCCGATGATCAACAGTGGCTGTTGCAATGGGAGCCCTGGTGTGATGCCAGGATTGTTAATCCGCTGAGATTTGTGTCTCGTCCTCCCAGCTACCCTTTAATAGTCCTCCTTGTCTATGACGCGCCCAGGACATCTCTGTGTCACCTCTGTCTGGCAGTGCAGGGCCCTCCTCACCCAGGGTGACGTCTTTCCCAGTTTGCTTTCTCTGCCGTGGCTTCTCCGGCACCTGTCTCTCCGGACACTCCTTTCCCCTGGGCCAACTCCCCGGAGTCTTTTCCAGGGCTTCCCACAGTGATGGCTTCCCAAGGGCCCAGGGTGCTTTGAG